GACGCCCGTAGGCGCTTATATTCAAAACGCTTTTCGTTTCAACCTGGAAAATCATCATTCCAAAAGTTTTCATTCACTTCCCAAGGCCAGGAAATAATCAGCACGCTTAGAGCTCACAAGGCTTACATGGCCGCCTGCTATGCAAAAAATGTATATCTGCAACTCTTTTTTTTGAAAAGAAACATAAGAAACAATTATTATGAGAAAAGCAAACTTTAACATACCATTAATATTGGTTTAGAACCAGTAGATGGTATAGTTTTAGATATCAATAAATTTTCTCGATTATGATAAAAAATTTCTGTTAGTTTAACACCAATGTGTGTTTTACCAGTACCCGGTGGACCTTGTATTATTCCCACACATTGTGTTAATGCTTGTTGTAATGCTTTATATTGACTATGATCTAATCCAAATTGATCAGCTGTTGGCCATGTACTAATATCTCGTATATCACCTATGTGAACATTATTTGTAATTATATTTGTAAAATCAAGAGTATAATTATTTTCAAAATATGCTGGTAATGCAATATCTTGTTTACAGCCGAGTAAATAAGATGATAAGGGTATTTTATCATCTTTTATCGATTGTAATGCTGATAAAATTGGTCGATAAGCTTCAAAGTATGCAGTTGTTTCAAGTAATGTTAATTTTGTACCAATAGGTGTTTTCATCATTTTATTATCACCTAATTCTTTTTGACATCGAACATGTATTGTACCATCTATACTTATATTTGAACGATCTTCAACACTTAGAAGAAAACAACTTGTATCAAAATTATCAGATGTAGCTGCTACTAAATTTCCATAAATAAGACGTCGTGTATTTTGCCAATTAATTCCTTTTGATAATGATTTTAAATCAATAATAATTGAAAATAATATCCCACCACCAGTACATACACAACCGGATAATATTGAATTTTCATATACTCTTACATTGGCATTATTATCTATATTGCCACAGATATAGTCATACATAGCCTCACGTAATGGACATAAAAAATCCTCACGTAAT